TCCCTTTATTTCCCTAGGAAGTAGTATTTTGATTTCACCCCCATTTTATTGGCAAAGGAACTGAAGCTCAGACAGGTGAAGTAACTTCCCCCAAAGTCACACAACCAGAGAGTGGCAGAACTGGGACCTGAATCCAAGTGTATTGGATTCCAAAGACTATACTAATAATCATTACCCTTGCAAAATACTGGAAATCACCAAATACCAAAAAATAGAATAGTTCAGGAAACCATTAGATATGCTACGGTCACTAGGGAGGCAATGCCTGAGACACTGATGAACAAAGGTCTGGTGACTGAGCAGGAGGCTCTCAGCAGGGCAAATGGGATGATGTACCTGTCCCAAAGTTATCTGCAGGCTGGGAACAGTTTGTAAGGTCTCCACTCAGGTGGGGTCAGAAGGGGAGGGTGGGGTTATGAAGACCGATGACCCTCAACCTCGGGAATAAATGCAGAAAACAGATGTTTCTGTTCCATGGCCCAGAGGGTCCAGAATTTCACTGTAGGTAGAGCAGCACATTGTAAGCTTGGTGGCAAACCCATGTTCACTGTGTCATTACCCTCAGTCCATTTGGGAAGGATTAACGTGACCTTTGACACCCAAAGGACCTGACTTTGGATGAATCAAGGAGAAGGTACACTGTTGTTTGGAGGATCGAGGCCCATTTTACAACCAGTCTTGGTGGAAAAGAGTAGATGGAGGCAGTTCCAAAATGGGAGGGAAACTGACTCAGGCTTGGGGCCAGCAGCAAGAAAGAAAACCTACAGAACTGGTTTGAGCCCATTTAGGAATAATTAGTGAATAGATTAAATTCATGCTGGAAAATGCCAACAGTATAATGTAGCAGAAAGCATGCAAGCTTTGAAAATGGACTCTACCACTTTTGACATTCCAGTTGTATGCCCCATGATAGGCTACCGCTCTGAACCTCAAGGGTTATAATAAGGTGCAAAGTAGAGGGGGAATTGTGTTCATGCGAGAGAATGTAGGCCAAGTACCTAGTACCAGGTCTGGCACACAGCTAGAGGGGCTCCGCTAACACCTAGTCCCAAACAAACAAACACAGAAGCAGGTGGGTACAGTGATGGGGACTGGAAGGTAATAAGCAATGGCATGAGCTGGAGGTGTGTGTTCCCTGCATTTCAGGTGGCATGGGCTTTTCTCCTTTTCTCAGGTTTGAAGGTGCCCTGAAACTGGCACAGAGGAAGTGGATGCTAACCTGGTGAGAGAGCACTGGGTTCTTCAGGTACACCCTGTACTGTCACTGTGGACAAGCACAGTTAGCTTCTTGTCAGCTTTGCTGAGCTGGCCTGCAGAAAAAGAGACCTGTCCGCCAGCCCTGGATAGCAGCTCAGAAGAACCTAGACAAGCTCAGCCATATTTTAGCAACAGAGCTGTGTACCCATCTGTTCACCTACCCATTCACTTACACATTCCTTGCCAGTCCCTCACTACCAAATATCCTATTTTATTTTCTTCATGATACTTAACACCATTTACAGTCAATTTGTTCTTTTATTTTGTTTAGTTGTTCATTGTTTTCCCCTCTCCAGAGTGTTTGAAAGTCTAGGCATTTTTCTAACCTGTTCACTACTATAGCCCCAGAGGAGTGTCTGACATACAATGGTTGCTTAGGAAATGTGTCAAATGAATTACTTAATTCAAGAAATGGTCTCTGAGGCCCATCAGGTACTGGACAAGGAAAAGAGGAGGGGAAAGAAAAGAAGAGGTGACCTAACCTCAGGAGACCTATTATTTGGGGGCAGGGAGAGGAAGAGAAGGAGGGAATCCACTTTGGCCCAAGGCACCAATCTGGGAGCTTTACATATGTAACCTCATTTAATCTTCACACTAGCTCTGTAGAGTGGGCATTAATACCATTTTACTAGTAATTCCACTCGATAGTTTTACTTCCTTTGCAATCTGGATATCTTTTACTTCTTTTTCTTGCTGACAAGCCTGGGATAGACTCTCTAGTACAATGTTGAGTAGAGGTGGAGGGAGTAGACTTCATTATCTCGTTCCTAACTTAGGGGAGTTGACTTCATTGTCTTGTTCCTCCTTTCAGTCTTTTGCCATTAAGTATGATGTTAGCTGTGGATTTTTTTTTAAAATATATTTTATTGATTTGTTACAGAGAGGAAGAGAGAGAGATAGAGAGTTAGAAATATCTATGAGAGAGAAACATCGATCAGCTGCCTCCTGCACATCTCCTACTGGGTTTGTGCCCGCAACCCAGGTACATGCCCTTGACCGGAATCGAACCTGGGACCCTTCAGTCCACAGGCTTATGCTCTATCCCCTGAGCCAAACCGGTTTTGGCAGCTGTGGATTTTTTGTAGATGCCCTTTATAGGTTGATGGGGTTCCTTTCTAGTCTAGTTTGAGTGTTTTTATCTTGACAGGGGGTTGAACTTTTCAAATGCCTTTTTCTGCATTTATTGAGATATTCATGTTGTTTTTGTCCTTTATTCTATTGATATGGTATATTACACTAATTGATTTCAGGTGTTCAAAAGACCTTGCACTCCTGGGATAAATTCTATTTGGTCATGGTGTGTAATCCTCCTTATATGCTGCTGGATTCAGTTTGTTAGTACTTTGTTGAGGATTTTTGTGTCTCTATTCATAAGGGATATTGACCTGTAGTTTTCTTTTCCTGTGATAGCTTTGGTGTGATATAGGGATACTGGCCTCATAGAATGAGTTGAATGTGTTCCCTTTTTTATTTTTTGGAAGAGTTTAGGGGGAATGGGCATTAATTCTTTAAATATTTGGTAGAATTAATCTGTGAAGCCATTTGAGACTGGGAAGACTCTACTGTATTGCTGTGACTGATGAGTTCGTTGATCTTACAACCTCAAGAGACCTTGGGCTAGTTATCAATGTATTGCTACTCAGCTCTAAACTGACCCTTCACTGCAGGAGCTGGGCCTTTAAATTGTTTTCATGAAAATAAGTGTTCCGGGTAGAAGGCCCTGCAGAGGGCTTGCAGGGGGAATGGGTTGTGCTTCCTGGCTCCATGTGCTCTCTGTTGTACTCCTACATCAGGGCGGCTTCCACCATCAAATTCCCCTAGTACCCTCTCAGGTAGTTTTGTAACTTCCATGAGACACCTCCCAGGAATAGCGTTCCTCAGCACCCTTGAAGTGCTAGCAAGTTCTGGAGGGTGGATTTCTAGTAAGTTCTACTGGCACAGATTTCCAGTCACTTCTTGCCATTTAATGAGCCATGGCCAATGCCCTCTCTAACAAGGTCTCAATCAGTTCTTCCAAGGGGCAGGGGCTCTTCCTTGGGTGTTCTAGTTCAGTACTGAGGTAATGGCTGGTCCTTATATCTGATCTTCTTATAATCCTTAAAGCTCTCTTTAGTTCTTTCTAGCCAGAATTCTTTGTGATTTAAAACATCTGTTGCAAGTAGTTGCTCATTTGTGCAGTGATAATTTTGAGCATTTATGTTTAAATTCTTTACTTATGTTTAAATTCTTTATGTTAACATTCCTTCCATGGCCCCTTTTCCTATTAATTTATGTATATAAATCAGCATGTAGTTAATTTGTTATTTTTATAAACCAATGAACTAAAAAATGCTCAAAGAGTACCTGTTTTAGGACACCTGTCCTGACCCCTGCCTTCCTTCCACACAGAGATAACCATTTCATCATCTGTAATTTCAGGGCTGACACTCTGAATCAGGTTGTTGCAGCAACTGTAATACTTGGTTTTTCATGTAACTGATCAAGTTCAATTTTTACAATCTGACTGATATACAACAAAAGTTACATTTCAGTTGGCATCTTATTCAGTTGGCTCACAAGTATGTTGCCAGATTTGGAGGGCATGTTAGAGATGGTTCGTCTTAATCTAAACATCCTAAAAAGCTTCAAAAATTCACATTGGAAGCAGATGCCTCAAAAAGATGAGCAGAGCCCTGGCTGGGTGGCTCAGTTGGTTGGAGTGTCTCCTATACACCAAAAGGTTTTGGGTTCCATTTGGGTTAGGGCACATACCTGGGTCAGAGGTTTGATCCCTGGTGAGGGCGCAAAGGGGAGGCAACTGATGGATTTCTCTTTCCTCTCTCTCTCAACCATATCCTCAGGTGAGGCTGAAAAAAGAAAAGAAAAAAAAAGATGGGAAAATAAAGTGTGCCCCAGAGAAAGTAGCATCAAGGATTTAACTGCAGTTACCGATTTTCCCAAGCATGTAGAAATGTACACATGATATGTGTATATTTGTAGGAAAACAGCCTGGTAGTCTAGGGAGAAATACACACTAAAAGGTTAACATCCTTTTTATCAGGTATTACCTATTTTGTGCCAGACCCTAGGTTACAAATAATAACTACCTGACAGCCTAGTAAGGGAGGCAAGTGGGTATAAGCCAAATACGTTTTAGTTTTGTATTCTTCTCTGTGTTTTGCACAGTGTGAATAGATATCTTCTCCAGCAACAACCAAAAAGGTTTTATTTTGGAAAAGGAAAACATTTTCACTTCTGAGGGTAAAGTCAGAAAGAAGGGCCAGCTCCCGAAGCCCCTCTGCCCAGTTCCCATTGTTCTCACGGAACCTTTGTGCAAGCCTCTAGTATCCCACCGGGCGACCCGAGACACCGGAAGTAGAGGCTCTGCGACCGAC